CTCTTGATTTTTAAAATGACAAAATAAATGTAGCAGACTGTGTTTATAAATGTAGTCATTCATCAAAAAATAAATAAATATTTAATCTATATATTTTTATATTAAAATATTCATTTTTAATTCTATATCAAAATAGATCAGCTAAAAAAAATTTTTTAAAAAATCTATGCACTCATTGGAATTTTTTTCACAAAATTTCTTAAAAGAAAATCTGATAACGTCAAAGATACTGTAAACATATTATGAGAAAAAAATACCAGTTAATAACTCTAACTAAACTAAACTCAGTGGCGCGACAGCCCATAGAGGGCCAAGGCCTACTGTGCTCATCTCAGTTTTCTTGACCTTGGGCTCTGGTGTGCAGGAGCAGATGTTCAGGTCAGGTGGTCAGCCGAACGCGGAAACCCCCAGTGTTTAGTTCCCAAGCATGCTTGGTACTCATTTATCGACTCACTGAAGGGATGAAAGGCTGAAGTTAATAACTCTACTGCCTCAAATAGATTTTGAAAGGGAAGAATGACACTATATCAGGAAAAATATCTGAATTCATTAGCCCCTTTTCTTCTATTTTTGGCATATTAGGGTAATTTCTTTTTAATATAACCTAAAGCTTTAGAAATATACATCAGCCATTTTAAGAAATCCTGTTGTTTTCTGCAGAATATAGACGTCTTAGGCCAAAATATTAAATTAAAGTAAAGTTATATGCATAAAATGACGAATTTGTCATTATCCTGGGTTGTGAATGCCAGGGCATTGAAGTGTTACCAGAAATTTTTTTTAACTGCTAATACAGTAAGGACGGAAAACAAATATTGACCTAATACCAAGTTTATGTATGATTGTAATATGTTTGGATGTAATCAAAGTTATTTATTTATTTAATGATTGATTATTACAAACAATTTTATTTTGTACATATCAGCAACAAAATTTTTTTTGATTCTATCTACAGTGGATAAAAAGAATTAATTTAATCAATTTATGGTCCATCTAACATAAAGGCTTAAGTTGAGTTACTTACTATTAACTTAAAATGACTGTTTAGATGTTTTATGGAACACATTATTCAGCAAGAGACATGCGAAAGCCTTCGGTCTCGGATTAAATAGTACAGAGATTGGTGTAATTAGGTCCCAGTCGTACATACCTATGTAACTCTACGCAGTATGGAAAATCATTTAATGCTTCCTAATATGGAAGTGAAAGAGGAACAAGATTCTAAAAATAACTCCTCCTTTCAAATATAAATCTAATTATTATTCAATGGTATGTTTTCAGCCTTGAATTCCCAAAATAGAATATCTCTATCATACTCTTTAACAAAGACATTTTATGAAACCGAAAGAGTTTTAATTCTTTTATTAATACAAAAGTATTTATTATTTTTGTATTACATATATATATATATATATATAGTCAAACCCCTCTATAGTGAGCCTTCAAGGGATCGAAATTTTGGTTCACTATAACCGGATGTTCACTATATACGCTACGCAGGCAATTTAACTATGGTTCCCAAACTCCTTCCTTTTAATACACATTATTCAAATAAATGACTGAAAAATATTATGTAGTAGCAAAAAATGTGTTATTTTTCATTACTCTTCGTCTTGCGTACGAAAAAAATTAGTAGGGGAGAGAGGGGTACATTTCAACATGGGGCACCTTTCAACAACTAGAATTTCTGCCTTTTAACAATGCTTAATGATTGGTCAATATGCCAGACAATAAGCTTTAACTATGCATAACTGTTGACATTTAGTTTTAAGCACTTTCTTTTTACCACTGTTCTGTTACTCTGGGGAACATGTTTTAACATTCCAAAAGTAAAAAGACAGTTTTGATTTTAAAACTGTTTATCTACCAGTAATCTTTTAACAAGGTAAGTGATATTTATTCATCTGATAGTTTATTTAATTCTGCTACTAACTGTATTATTCATTAGTTAAAAGTCTTTTTCTAAAGTGGTTGATAATACTTTAACCAAAATGTCTGTACCAGGGGCAGATTTCAACAGAGCTTAGGGGGCACATTTCAACAGTGTTGAAAGGTGCCCCGGGCTTATTATTCTTTTGTGAAGTAATCTTGCAAAAGTCATTAGTCTGCAAAAAGCCCATTAATTACAGTTGTTACATTTAAAATACTCAACTTTTTCTGTAAGGCATTATTCTAAACTTTTTGAAAAACATGTGAATGTGTTCAAGGAAGCATGTTAGCAATAATTTTTTCAATTAATTAAATTTTTTTAAAAGCTTAAAATCAAGATTCCATTAGTTGTATTGTTGCTGAAAATAGAATTTATTAACAAGTAATTTATTCAATAGAATAATTATTTTAAAATTTTATAAAAATATTCAAGAAAACTCGATTTAGAATGAAAATAATTTAATTTTAAGAAAATTGAAAAGTTTACAATGCGATGTAACATTATATTTAATAAAATGCTCAGTCCTGTTATTTTACCTTCTTACAGTTTATAAAAATGGTGCGAACATATAAAAAAAACGCACTAAACCAGAAGTTAGTGAAGAAAACATTGAAAAAGCAATGGAAGCTGTAGGAAATGGTGCATTTTTAAGAGCAGCAGCAGATTTATTTGGAATGGACTTCTCAGCTTGATTTTATAGATTAAAAAAAAGAAAGTCAAATAATTGTTTGGTTGGTGAAACCAAACAATGTACAACTAACACAAAATGATACAGTTTTAAATACGCAAGGCAAAAAGTTTTCGACGTCCAGCAAGAAACCCGGCTTTGTGAATACATAATTACATGTTCAATTCTCAATTATAGTGTAACTTGCAGACAAGTTCGACAACTTGCCAATGATTACGTAAAGCGTTTCAACTCCAAAATTCCAAGTAGCTGGGACGAAAATGAAACGTCTGGAATTTACTGGGTTAAAGGTTTTATAAAGCGTCACCCGCAGCTTACTTTAAGGAAAACCTGAAAACGCCAGCTTCGCAAGAGCTACAGCTTTTAATAAAGAAAATGTTGAAGAATTTTTCAACAATTATGAAAGAGCTCTTACTTCTGGTCATTTTACGGTTGATCAAATACATAACTTGGATGAAACTGGAGTTTTAACAGTTGTTCCAGCTCCGAATGCTGTTGCCAAGCTAGGAGGAGCTCGTTAGGTGAGGTAGGTAGTTTCTGGAGAGCGAGGAAGCATTACCATTGCATGATAATCAACACTTTATTTTGCAGAAAAAGAGGATATTAGTAGTATAGAAAGAAATGACATTAAAATGAAACTGCCTCGACCAAGTTTAAGAGGCAGAACAGCTCGAGCTGTATTTTTCTTGACATTTTCGTAAATTTTGATTTTATTAAAGACAAAATGTAGAAAAAACCTAAACCAATATGTTCATTCATTATTATTATTATTTTATGAATAAAGTTAATTTTCCAAAATGTATGATCTTGTTACGTTCTCTTCGATTGTTGAAAAGTGCCCCCCCCCAGGAGGGGTAGATTTCAACAAAACACATGGTTCACTAAATATGTAAAATTAGGTATTTTGTCTTTGGCTTAGACCTTTGGAAAAAATTGAGAGGTTACCTCAAATATCAATTTAGTAAATAAAAATTAGAGCTTAGATTTTGAAAGCAGTAAAACTTAGAAAATAATTATTTAGCAGAAACTGCTGAAAGGTGCCCCCCTCTCCCCTAATCTTTAGATGATGAGCAATCCTCAACATCAGATATGGAAACACTTCCCGACTCTCAGCTAATTTTTTCTGAATTTCTACCGTTTTACAAACCCGTCTTCCCTGCCATTCGAGCACATGCAAGTAGTCTCATAAAATCATTTAGCAAATTCATCGACATTTGTCCAGATACTGGAAGATTGCGGCTTCTTCGAATACTGAACCACTTCAGTAATGCTCACTCAACATCCTTGTGATCTGCTTTTCTAAATTTTTTTCTGCCATCTTATTTTTTTCATGAGCAGAAATTATTAATTGTCTATTTTTCCATACGTTACAAACTGTAGATTTGGATAGTTTACATTTCCTGAAAATATCAGCTTGATCGCATCCATTTTCAATTTTTCTGATTATGCCCATTTTATCATCAAAGGAGGACGTTTACTGCTCTCTATAGTTAAATTTGAGACACTTGTTTGCATGCTTTTTTTAACTAACTGAGAGCAAAAAGGAGTTGAAATGAGGGCCTTAACACATATTAGTGTCCAACCCTTTAACCAATAATGAATAATTACTCATTCCATCTGACAGATAATGCATTGATCCGGGAGTTCACTATAAACCGCGTTCACTATAGCAGGGTTTGACTGTATATATTTATAATGCAGTACTATTTACTTATTTTTAACATAAATCTATGATTTTAAAAATCATAATGAAGCATATAAATCAATTATTTTTTTTTAAAGTAAAATGTTTTTTAATCATGCTAACCCTGCTTTTTATTTTTATGACATTATCCACAGCAGTTCTTAAGGATAGAATCTTAAGGATTTCTCGTGACTCCACACACTCACAAGTGAGCAATAATTTCAATTTTTAACATAATTAATTGCTATTAGTTTAAAAATAAAACTCCTGATATAAAGAGTCATTAACTGAAATTAGAAAAATTTTGAAACATAAATGAAAGTAAGTTATACCCTAGGAATAGCAACATCTAGTTTACCTGAGCAAGAAACTATAGTATTGCTTACAAATATGGATAAGTAAATTATAATGTAATTCTTCACGTTTCTTCAGTAGCGACATTGTCTATTAAAACAGTAAAAACATTCAGTAGATCATTCTCAATAGAAAAGAGTTCAAAAAATGAAAGGTGAGTATTACTCATCATTGTTCTCAAATATATTTTTAACATCTACAGTTTTGAATATGAACATTCTGCAGTAGTAATGGTTACAAGAACGATAAGAAAAAATTCTTAAAGCAATCACAAAATTTGGCATAGCATCAGAAAAATTGTTTTTGTATAGTGAAGTCGTTTTACAAGAGTATTCACTGTCTTTCTTGAAACTAGAAACCTTGATTCATTGATAGTAACTAAATTTTAAGGTCAGTGAAGGTGACAATAGCAATGTCTTCCTCACAACCCCTACTGGAGAGATTTATTAGTATGCCACAATGACTAGCTGTATAATAAATAACTTTTTCTATTGATTAAGAGATAGAAATAGGAGTGTAATTTGCAAAGAAATTTGATCAACATGGCAATAAAGTGAAGGGAGGAAAAAAAAACTTGTAACTTAAGTACATTAAAAAATTTGGAAATTTTGGCGGCCCTGACTTTTAACGGGCCCGCGTAGTCACCCACTCCTAAGCACGGCCCTAAGTACACATGTATATTTCAAAATATAATACAATATTTCATAAAATATAGTTATTAAAGCATGTATCATTAATCTACATTAAAGACTAACCTCTTCAGAATCCATGATAAAATATATATATATAGCTTTAGAATTAAAATAGACTCAATTTTATTTAAGTAATTTCAAATCTGAAAATCACTCTTCTTTTTTTCCCTCTATTTTCGAAATAAATAAAACAAAGCAATATGTACTTGATCTTGTTTCAGAAATTTAACTAGTCACTAATGCTCCATCATTCTTAGAGAGAAAGAAAAATAAAGAAATAACTTTACTAGCGCGATACTTCTTGCTGGCATCAGAGCCGACAGATTTCTGCTTTTGGTGATGGTCCTACGAGTTTAGGCCACGTTGAGTGATGTGTTGTTTGTGGAAACTTATGATTTGAATGAAACTTATTGCCCTTAACACCATTTCGATGTGAATAGGATAAAGTCTTTAGTGATATACTTCAATATGCAGTGCATATTCCTTTTTGCGATTTCGGTATCTCTTTATATTTGTATAGTTACCGCTGTAGAATTGACATTTGAGTTGCCGGATAACGCTAAACAATGTTACCATGAAGATATTGAGCAAGGAGTTAAATCTACTGTTGAATTTCAAGTAAGTTGAGAAAAAAATATTTGTGTGCTGATCAATTGCGAAAACTTTTTTCGGTGCTCATTTTTATTTCTACCTGTTTTAAAAAAAAATTATATTCAATTAGCGGGTGACAAGGTCAATTAAAAAAATGGGATTTGTTATTGTTTACATTTCATGGTGATAATTTGTTTTGGAAAAGTTTTTTATTATAACTAATGAACTGAAATATAATTATAGCATTTATTAACTAATGGCGGTGCGCAAATAATTAATGTTTGCCAAAATACCACACACATTCAATAAAAGATATCTAAGTGATTTGCTAAATATTGACGCTAAGTCTATAAATTTATCTCTTAGTTATACAGGGCATAGGACCATTTTAACATATTAACTGTTTTATTCAAAGCAATATTTTTTTCGAGTGATTAGTGTTGTATAATCCTTTGTAATTTATATGTAGTTTAGCAATCAGTATATACGCTTATACCCAGTGGTTGAGAGTAACGCACTACCAGAAGCGGCAGTTGCTATTTTATTTCATGGGTTGTCGTGAAGAGTAATTATTTTTTTTTAAAAAAGTGTGATTAGTGCAATACGAGAAAAACAGCTGTTCCTTGTGATTCCTGTCAACTGCTTTCAACGTTACTTTTGTAAAGTAACACAACTAGTTTGTCAAATCCGATTTGTATGTATCTTTCCAGGTCCATCAATTGATGCAAAAAGTTACCTATTTAGAATTAATTAATATAAAAACTTGCTATTTATAAATAATAGCTAATTTGTCACTTCAGACACATTCAAATGCAAATGTACATTCATGAAACATTGTTATTTTTATGAAGAACAGATTTTTCTCTGTAAATTTCGATGTTCATGATCTTAGAGGTAATAAAAAAAAATTAAAAAAACTTTAAACGCGTAAACAAGCAAATATTGAATGATTTCCTAGCATTTCACCAATTAAATATTTCGTGTCGAGAAATGTATAAAAAAAAAAAATTCGGTAAAAAACAATTTAGAAGAAGCAAATTAGTTCATGTAAACATGAATACATATTTCTTAATACAGTGAAACCTTTAGAGAGCGAACACACTGTTTCATTGTAAAATGGTCGTCCTTAGCAGTTACCTCAATTATGCACTTTCAATGATATTGAAGGTGCATAATTTTTCACAAACAATTTTAATTTTAGTCAATGTCATTTTCTTAGTTGCGGAAATACCACTTGTGTTGGAGTCATGAAAACTGAATCAAATAAACTTTAGTGTCAATAAAAATGATCTCTAATGATGTGTAAAAACAAATTTATCAAATATGAATGATTTTTTGTTTAAGTTTACATTTTATTTTTTATCATAAGAATTATTTAACTTAGTTTTTTTCATAATAACTTTTTCCTTATTTAACTTTCAACTCTAAAAGTAAATCATTGATAGTGTCGTCTTTAGTGCACTCTGACTGCAACATATTGTTATAGATATCTCAAAGATCGCCAAAAAGGGCTCTCTAAATAAGAGCCTCACAAAAATATTAGGACATTTTTTTATCTACTTATTTGTTTAGTTAATAGGTTGTTTTGGTATTTTTTCATGTTTCCTTAATTAACCTTTTCTGCATTTGGTGCGAAGGAATGCTCCGTCGCTGGGAGATGTTTTGATGGTCTCTCCTAAAGGTTTTCTTCAATGCAAAGTTTATGGAAAATATTCAGTGCCTCTCAAAAGTGGTCGTGAATAGAGTTCATTTCATAGAAGTAGTCTTTCCTGCAGGATTCACTGTTAAATATCCTGTTAAAATACGTAAATTTTTATTCAAAACCATTCTAAGCAGGAGGCTAAATCAAGTGTTCCAGTTCACCTCCTAAATATAGTGACTACATTTCCAATGTCGTTTGTAGTCACTACATTCTTAAAAAGTTATAGTTACTACACGTGTAATAAAGTAATTGTAGTTAACTATGAAGATAATTTTTTTCTATACTCTATACCCTAATTAAAGATTGGTATAGTTTATTAAAAAAAGTTTCCTAAAATTATACAGTATACACTTACCTTGGTTTTATTATTGACAAACAATTAAATATACTTTTGAACAAACAATTTAAATGTTCTTTTATAGTTATATAAGAAGTTTTTATTTAATTACCAGTGAAATTATTACTGAAGTTTTAAGATTAAAAATATCTTTCAGCATCATCGTGAAAATATGAGTAATAGTGCATGTTTATTTTATTTCTATTCAATTGAACTATTCCAAGAGAACTTGTTTCTCGTGAAAAGGCAGACCTCATGGTCTATATTCTTAGCAGTTTTTTGAACCATAGTTTTTCACATTGGGATTTCTCGACTAGATTTTCAATCTGGATCATGAATGACCTTTGTGGTTTTCTTGCTGCATGTGAAACTTTGCTTAGGTTGTTTCTCTGTTGTGTGTGGTGTACGCTGACCACCTGTTAACCAACTCTGTACCGCCTTATATTGGAATTGTTGTTTGAAATATTTAGTAGTGAAGCATAATTAACAAATATTTTGTTATTGTTATGAGAAAGAATTGTGTTTCATATTAAACTATAGTTAAAATGAACTAACAGATATTTCAGTCTATTAGTAATGGCTCTTATTTATCTAGCCCTCCACAAACAAGTTGTTTGCATTTCTCTTTTTTTTTTTTGTTTAGATTTTCTATTAAAATGTTTTGTCTAGCTGCTTTTTAGCATTTTCTTTCATTCCTTTTTTCTCTTAATATTTTTATAGCATTAATTTTTTGTTTTCTTTTTTTCTTTTGTATTTGCATTTCTCACATTGTTTATTTTTATTGCAATTGATTTTGAAGTTACTTTAAATTTTTTATTTAATTTTTTCCAATACCTTTGGAGCATAATTTAGTTAGCATTTTGATAAGTTGTCACATTTTTTAATTGGCTTAGTTTGATTATATTTTACTTTATTAATTCTAACTACATAGATCAATGAAAAATAGTTTAATAGTTAATTTTGAACAAAAGTATCATGTTCTAAAGTCAAAATTTAAGGTTGTGTTTAGTTTGTTTGATATACTCTGGCAAATTTACTCTGATCACTCTGGTTTCACAAATTTACTCTGATTTACTATGATCACTCTGGCAAATTTTCTAAATAACCTAGCTATTAACATCAATAAGGTCTTTAAGGTTGGTAGAATTTAGTTTGTTTATATGGGAAAAAACTACTCAACTCAAATTTATTATTTGCAATCTGAAGACTTGTTTTCAGATTTACGATTTTTTCACATTGTAAAAGGAGCCGGCCGATGGTCAAGTGGTTAGCGTACCTGACTGCAATGCCAGTGGCTGCCATTTCGAATGTTCAGGGCATGGATGCTCGCCTCCGTGACTTAGGTTCACGGGTGCCCACTGGGTAACGTTAAATGAGTAACACTTCCGGTATCTTCCTAGACGAAGAACGTAAAAGTTCAGTGCCTGCCATTAGGGGGGGAAGAAACATTGTAAAAGGAGCAATTTAGTTAAAGAGGCAAACTTTTAAAAAAGAAAGAAACTGTCTTAAGGAAAAATTCTTAGAGGAATTGAGAAGCTACGTTATAATATTTTATTCTAAAAGAGAAAGTTTAAAATTGATAATAAGAAAAACATTAAAACTGAATTTTTTTTATTTACTAATTTTACTTAAAAAATTGCATTCTCCCCTTAAAACACAAGTTGTTAAAGACATTTTGATAAATTAAATATAACATTTATAACTAAAAAAAATTGCCTAGTACTCATCCAGTATATTTATTTATATCCCTCTATGTTTTTTTAATTCTTGATTTCTTATGCAATCTTGTTATGAATGTCCTTCATATTAAAATTATACACCAATGTTATTTATATTAATTACAATTTAAGTATTCAGTTAAGTTAATTTTTTAATTTGTATGCAAAAAATAGCTACTAAAAAAAAGTGGCTATCAAAAATTTTTCTTCTTGTGGCCACTGGTTGCCACCACATAATTTTTTCAATTTCACCCTTTGCATGTAAAGCCACACACCCCAAGCAGGACCTCTCTCAGATTTATAAAAAAAAAGGGGGAGAGGTGTCTTGCTGGAAGCATCCCAATCTAAAGTATTAGATTTTTTCCAAATTCTCAAAAATAGAAACCTGTTTTAAAAAATTCACAAAATAAGTAAATTTTTCTAAATTTTGTTAAAGCATGACCTTTTGCTGAAAGTTTTCAAATTCTTATATCTCATTTTAAAATTATAACTCTTATCTTACTTAGAAAATTTCATATGCAAAATTATCCTTCCTTTAACCTGATTGTTTTCAATCCTTAATTATTTGTTTTTGTATCTCAATGATGTAACACCATATTGCACAAGGTTTTTAGTTTTATATATCCCTATAATTTTCCTCTAAAATGTTTATTTTTATAAACCATTAGCTATTTAATGTACTGACGTGTTTGACTTGCTTCTAAGTTCTCACAGTTTATTTTCTCCTAATTTTAAGGTTGTGACTGGTGGTAACTATGATGTTGATGCTGTCCTTGAAGCACCTTCTGGCAAAGTCCTTTACCGTGGAATAAAAAAACAGTCTGACAGCTACTCTTGGGTTGCTGACCAAACAGGGGTCTATAAACTCTGTTTCAGCAACGAGTTTTCTACATTTAGTCATAAGTTGGTTTACTTAGATTTTATTGTGGGAGAAGAAAAACCTCTTCCTGGTATTGGTGAACATTTAACTGCAATGACTAAGGTAAGTTATTTAAAAATTGTGTTGTACATTATTCCAAGTAATGTTTTTCTTCTAATTAGTTATTTCCTATTTCAGTTGGAAACATCATCAGCCAATGTGCATGAACATCTTAATACTATCATAGACTACCAAACACATCATCGGTTAATGGAGGCACAAGGGCGAAAACGCGCTGAAGATTTGAATACTCGTGTTATGTATTGGTCCATGGGAGAAACCATTCTTATTATTTGTATTGGTGTTGGACAAGTTATTGTACTGAGAAACTTTTTTAGTGAGAAAAAAGGATCATCTTCATGAGAACTCTTAGTCCTTAAAAATGTTTTATATAGAGGCATACAAACAAGGGTATTGTTTAATAATGTTTCTTCCATGGGAAAAACTAGTTGTGCCTCATGTTTTGTATGCCTTAAAGGATCATCAAAACATTTTGCAAAATCATCGCTCTTCATGCTTATTTTAATTTTGGATTATGTGGTGAAACTAATAAAATTTATTGAACGTATGGATATAGGTCATAAATATAAATTTTTCATTCATATTTGAATAGACTAATATTATCAAAAAAATAGCTTGTTTAAATTCACCTTTTCCCCCCTATATTGTTTTTCTGGTCTCTCTCTCTGCAAAAATAATAATAATTTTTACATTATAAAACGATAAGTGCTTACCAGTCGTGCTTAAAATAAAAGTTAATTTTTAGGAGTAAGATCAATTTTAGTTTGAATTTTAGGTACTCTTCTATTTTTGCTTATTATATTAGCTATTTATATTATATTTCAAATTATCTGACTTGATTTTTTGATTGACATAATAATTATAATCTCTTGAATTTACTTATTATATTTAATGTATTTTTTTTTCTTTTTTGTTCAGATTGTGATACAAAAATAAATGTATTATTTATTTTATTATATGTTCCTGTTTTTCTCCTGAATGGCATTTGTTTATTCGTGAGAAGTTTCTATTTTGTTTGTAAATTTATTTTTTCCAATTTAGTTGAAGTACAAATCCCGTTGTCACAATTCAGATGTTTCTGTTTAAGCTACTCATATCTGTATTCTTTTGTCTTAAATATAAACAAGAACAATTTTCAAAATGAAATAAAGTTACACAAGAAATCTTTGGTTTTCAACAATATCTTTTACATTACTGTAGTTCTTTTTTAAAATTACTTATGAGGAGAATAAGCATGCAATTAAATCATGTTGACTATAAACTTAAATTGCTACCTTCAAATTAAAATTAGTAATTTAATTGAAAATCTAACTGTTTTTAACCTATTAATAATAAACTTCACATTTTTATGTTTACATTGGTAGAAATCCTATATTTTTTACAAATTGGTCGAAAAGTCTATCTTTTACATTGCTAACTTATTTTTTATTGCGAAACATATGTTCATTAATTTTATGAAACCAATAAGTAGAAAAAGCTGTAAAAATACTACTTGTCAGTAGTCAGGAAATAGTGCAACATGAACATAAAAGTGAGTATTGTATATGTAGAAATGATGTTCATGGAGAAACTGAAAATATAGGAAATGTGCTTTTGATCTTACAGATGAAAATGAAATTGTTATGTGAAATAACAGTCCTCACATATTCGTATGGTCAAGTTTCTGTAGGATAATACTTCTCTGTTTACAAGAACGGGACAACTAAGGCCCATCAAGGGCTGTAAACCAGTTATGCCTTGTCATCGGCTATTATTTTGTAATTAAAATGGAAGCAAATAAAAAGATTCTCAATAATCTCTAATAAATTTTAGTTATACTGAATAAAATGAAAGTCCAAGCATAGATGCTTGTGATTCAGGTCGTATAGTAGTATGACCCAGAGTCCATCCCCAGCTCTGAAAGATCAAGAGCATCACTTGAACTTTCCTTGGAGATTTCCCAGTAAACCTCCTGATCCTTTCCACCAGGCTCTTCGCCTTCTGTTGAGACAGAGGGGACATCCGATGTTTTGCCTTTTTACTTTTTGGCTCTTGGATTAAACATTCCTTGATCCACTCCAATGAGAGTCGGCCTTAACGATATCTTCAACATCTTCAGGATCAACCTCGAAGATCCATCTAGAATTGCCCGGTCCAGAAGCATTTTGCAGGACCCTCCACCTCACGGACTTCAGTCCCGGGGTGAGTCGTTGAAGACGCCTGAACACGTCCCTTGTTTGCCGGGGCGACAGACAATGATGCATCAAAATTTTCCTATCATTACCACTCGTTATTTCAATTACCTGGTATTTAGTAATCCGTCGAGGGTATCCAGGGCGCACCACATGGAGGCAGCAGGCATTACCTCCAAAGTACTGAGGTTTATTACACTTCAAGTACTTGTGTAATTTTACTAACCGAAGCTATGACTATTTACAGTAAATTTTAAAACTATAATAATTTATAGAAAGTTAAAAAATTTATGTATCAAAATGTTTATTTATGTATCACGAATATGTTTTATAGATTTTTAAATCAATGTTTTTTAAAAGAAAAAAATATTAAATTTTTTAAAAATCAACTAATTTAAATCAGGTTGATTTAATTTTACACGAAAAGATGTAAAAAAGAAAGTGGATATAAAAGAGATCATCCAGTATTTTTTTAAAGAAAACTCGCAATTTTATGAATAAAAAATGAAAGATATTCATATATGATCTGTGGTTTTCTATATTTTTTCCCTAGAAAAAATTTTTTTTTCCCTAATTGGTCACTTCTAACCCTGCATTTATAAATGAGTAGCTGAGATGTAGAAACCTGTTGCTTTTCAGATGACAAGTCTGAAATTAGAAGAAAGTTTTAATGAATCATACTACTAAACCTGTTAAATAAAATTTTTCTTTTAGAAGATTGAAATTTTGCTTATTAATTTTTTTACATTGAAAGTTGAAAAAAGGTATATTGATATTTGCTAATAATGGCACAGAATTGAACTAATTTCTCTCAAAAGTCAGTTTAACTGATTTTGCATTTGGTCTTCACAAATGAAAAAAAAATGGGATCCTTAAAAAGATTTTTTTTATTTTATTCAATACTTCGTTACATAAGCATACCTCCTGTGTGCTCCACTTTTTTGTATATTACTTTTTGTGAGCAGGTTTACTTGAGTCATGCAATACTATTTGTGATTTTTAAGAAAAGCAAGTAACTGACATTTTCAAGCTTCTGAGAAAACTTTTTAAAATCTTCAAGTGAAAGTGATACCTGGCCAACCATTTTATTTTAAAACAGACGTTGAACAGCCCACCCGATTTTGGGTTAACGACTACTAATGTTCAACAACGTGGCCTTCTCATTTTGAACCAATCCAGAAGACTAGAAAACCTAGATCAATACCACCAGAGGTATAATTTGTTATGGAGGACTTCGTGACTTGACAGATTTGACGTGCTTCAGTCACCATTTACTGCACGGGTATCGACAACACGACCTCTTGTACATGGTCCTGGCCAACCTTTACCCTTTTAAAGAACAATTTTCCTAGTGGTACTGAAATTACAATTTAAGGCAGAAATATTTTTTTATTCTGCCAGAGCTTAAATGCGCCATCATATGATTAATTCATGTAATACATAAAACATATAAGTTTTATTTATTTATATGCAGTGAAAGTCAAAATTATTTGAAAGGAATTCTATAAATTCAAGAATTGATTAAAAAAGCATAAAACTTTGCTACCACTTAAATATAAAAAATTTTACAGGAAATCTGTAGAAGTTGTTATCCAATTGACTCAAACATTATTTTTGAAAAGTGTAGCGTCTGGTTTTTCCTTAAAATCACGAATATGTGAGCTTTAAAGGGTGAAAAGTAAAGGTTCCTTAAAAGTTTTTATTTTTGTTAAGTATCAAAAAATATAAATCTCAACGTTTTATTACTAAGAACAATATTTTTTAACAACACCTGTTTAGAAAGGCATGCGTAAATTTTAGAACAAGGTTATAGGTGTATGAGGCAAAAAATTGCCAAGTTGGATTTATTTGTCCTAATTATTAAAATGAGTTTCTGAAAATTAGGATACATCATTCGAAAGGTTTTTGAAGAATATTTATTCTTGATAAAGTAACAGTGTATTAAATAGAGTGGAGATTGTTAAGAAGTATTTTAATTTAATATTACACAGTTTTTTTGTGATTTTAACAAATGTGGAATCATTAGTGGAAAATTACCCGACATATAAAAAAAAAAGTTATATAAACTGATTATTCTACAACCATTATCATTAGCCATTTAGATGCCATTGTTCCATAAATGGAACATGGACTTCGAATTTGATGAGCAATTATAATTTGTAAATTTTTCGTGCTTGTAATATAATTTATCAAAAATACAATTTTTATAATACTTTCGGGGTGCTATCTATGGCCAATAATTGGACTTCTGCCACACCCGTTTATAGGGCGGACCCATTCATACGTCCATTCATTTATTCAGCCATAGATCGTAATTTTGATCTAAACCAGAGGACGATCAATCTCCAATCCACAGGCTACTAAAATGCAACTATTTTCGGCCTTTGGCGACTTTTTTTGCCTGAAAAGGTTTAAAAACAGGGATGAGATTTTTCCGCTTTTTAGCGGATTTCCGCTTTTTTCACTTTTATCTCTTAAATTTCAGCTTTTTTTTATCAAAAATTCAGATTTTCTAAAAATTTCATTTTTTTTATAAGTATTCCGCTTTTTCAGAAAATTCACCGATTTTCAAAGAGAAACGGAAAATTCAAACTACATAGCTACCAATCCTTTCTCATTTTTACTTATTTTAGCTATTTTCTCCCCTTTTACTTGCAGCAGATAAGATTTTCCGAATTTTTTACCCGCCCNAACAGTATTTATTAAAAGAAATGAAATATTAATGTATATTCTCAGTAGTTTTAATTTGCTAAACCAGGTAGTTTTTCAAGTAGTAATTGTCTCTTATGTGAACTGAGGAAAATATAATTTCCAGCTTTATTTTTTCAATTGGTACTTTTTTTTCTCCACTAAATGTTAAGTATCAATGTAACCGTTTTTATAATAATATATTAGTACACAATTGTATGTCAATAATTATTTATTACCTTAAACTGTCTGGAATTTATTATTAAAGGGTTACTCTTGCGTAAAATTTGCTATCGTGGAAATTCAGCTTTTTTGTGTTTTGGCTAATCTCATCCCTGAAAAAAGCAACTATTTTCAGGAATAGGAGACTTTTTTTTACTCTTGTCGAAGTTTTTTCACAAAAATGAACGTTACTTTTCAGAACGTTACTAAAAAAAGCAAACTTTAAAGGCAAAAAAGCAACTATTTTCAGGAATAGGAGAGGCTCGGTATTGTTATGTTTTCACATGGCTAATTACCTTTAACTTCTTCATAAAGATGGACCCTGGTCATTAGATCTATGGATAAAGCAAGAAAATGTTTATTGTTCTCCATAGATCTGTGCTAAAATTATTAAATAAAAAATTATCTNTTAATAAAGTACTTGTTATATGTTCTCTCTGAGGGGCAGTTTTGTTATTTTTAATTGGTTTTTTTCTTCTATTAACATTCATATTTTATTGTAATTCGACTTTTATTTAGGTACCTATATTCTAATATGTATACCTTTTATATTTGTACAAAACTTTTTTTTAATTGGAGCATAAGTTAGGACTGGGCGATGAATCGCGAAATATCGATTTAACGCATATATCAGTAGGCCGATGTAGTGACTTTCGTTTTAGGCGATGCATCAGAAATCTGATTTAAGCCGCCGAAATTAGATTACAATCGCGGTTTAACGATTTAATATGCAAGGATCCTCGACTAGGCTAACGCTATTATCGCACTAACGAAGACGATTTTGATTTCGTCTAGCTGCAGGGATGTAGATATCGTTTTGCTATTAAGATGATGTTAGTTTTGTGATGTTGAATGACGAAGAGCGAATTGAATCAGAACTCCCGGTTTCGTACGAGGATCAGCGTTGTGATATAGAACGCAATGCATAGTTTCTTTATGTCTATTTTTCTCTTTGAGATTTTGCGTTTTTTGAAGATTATTTTCAATGGGACTTAAGTCATTTTGCGATTGTTGTGCATTTTATTTCGTCTGAAATAATTGTCGGGTTTCTTGTAAATTATTTTCAATGAGACTTTTGCAGC